GATCAGGATATGCCTCTTTTGTTTTTAATATTATACATTTTAACAGTTTTGAGGCAAGAAATTTTCAACACGTTATTTCTTTTTTTTTTAAATAAAGAAATGATTCTTTTCGACAATTAGTGAACTGATAATGCAAAGTTTTGGAAAGAATTGAGTCATCAATATTCCCTGAGATTTCTCCAATTTAATCCATCAAATTGCTTCAACAATTGTATGTGCATTCTGCCTATATAGTGTGTACTTGAAGGTTTGTTCTTGGTGAGATGATGCTTAACGAAACTTTGTAAAGATGCTTCTGTAATTGTAGACATTTCACAAATATATTTATTTTCTTCGAGCATAGCTCTTCGCTTAAAGGACAATACAATTGACAATTTTAACAATTTTATTAACTTCTAATCAATGGTTACAGGAAAATTAATAATTGTAAATAAACAAAGGATTATATATAGGAATATATATAAACCGTTAAATAGGGAGGTTCCTCCATCTTGAGAGAGTCCTCCTCCAGACAAGGTTTTCTTGGACCCTCCTGGGTTCCACGCCGAGGAAGTATTTTGCGTGCCTTGGTGACACCAGTCTGGTTGCTTAAAGGACAAGATAATACATACAAAATGAGCCAAGCTTTCTCAATTATTTTTTTCTCTTTTCATTTCAATAATTTAGAAACATTCCTCCTTTATTTAAAAAATAAATCATTAAATAATTCCATCCTCAACAAAGTGTGTTATGTGGATTTTTACTTATAAATATATTTGCCTTAACAAATCAAAGCTAATTTTGTATTTAATCAATCTTGCGCGTCTATCTCATAGCGAGAAGACAAACGTTCAAAAAGGGAAATTCTGATTCCAAATATTCCGACCACAGCAGCAATGTCGTCCCCAGCTAGCTAGATCCACCAGTCAGTACTGCTGCAAGGTTGGTTACAGCTAGTGGTTGCCCAACCTTCCACATGGCCAACTGCAGTCTCAGCGTCCTTGCTCAAGGCCATTCTCTCTTTCGTACTGTAGACGTTTCCACCTTCAATATAAATACAAACATATCTAGAGAATCTAAGTAAATTGGTTTGAATAAATTTTAACATATCACCTGAATCCTTATTGTTAAATACTTTTTTAAGGGATGAATGTAGTGCTTATACAATGATTGT